ATTAATGCTGGTTCAACATATTCTTAAAGCTTTTGCAACATGCTTTGCTTTAAATTTTAGTAAAGTTACTCTAATAAAGCCACAACTAAAGTTGCAAATCATGGCAAAAATAAAAAACAACAACAACAACAACTTGTGATTTGCATTACTATACAACATTGACTTTCTTATTTACCTCCCTCAACAATTCCTAATATTATACCCCGTTTAGTTATTTTTCCCTAGTCGTGACAACTTCTGCTTGAATTGGGCAGAAAACATTATTTTAACCATCACACACACACAACGTATATATTAATTGATTTTATATACTGTAATTCATGTGTTCGTTGTATCCAGCCCAAGTTTTCACACTAGTGGTGATAATGTTAAACTATAAGAATTTCTTATAGTGACAGTCACTCATCCAAAATATATAACTGGCACACATACATCAAAGCTAATTAAATATGCACATCCCAATTGGCTTCACGTATATAGGCTTTCCTAGTTATTTTGAGATGAAAATTTGTTGAGGATAAGATTTACTGTAAAAGCTTTAGATATATATATATCTATATACACACACAATTATACACACACATGTAACTATCTTACATTAATATATTTAAGACTACTTTAAATGAACTGATACATTCATTTTCAAAGAACCATATATAATTTGACTAATATATTCCATGAAAGGGAATATGTTCCCTGATTTTATTATTCTATAACTTATAATATAACATATTTCATGAATACATGCTATATAACATTATAATCTGGGAGATGTCAACGTAGGTAAATTGCTTATAACCATTTTTACTTTGAGAGTATTTATTTATTATATCTATAAAACCCATCAACCATTACAATTTTTAATTGATGATGCTGGAGTTGACGTACCATAATTAGGTCATTACTTACCTAAGGCGGCTGCCTTCAAATAAAACTCATTAATAATCTCACGCTTCAAAAGCACCAATGTAAACAAAATTATCTAGTTTAATTTGTTGTAAACAAAAGACAAAAGATCCAACAACAGCATAATATGCCTCTAATTAATTAATTAGAATGTATATAAAAAATATAAAAAATTGATAATTAACACATCAACGAACCTGTTTTTTATTTTATTTTTTATTATATATATATATATAGTTATATATAACCATAAAAATTATGTTTATAAGTTTGGAAATTTTGTTTTTAATATTCAAGCATGGGTTGCATTAAATCCTATTTCTCAAAAGCTTAAGCACTAGTCATCGAACTTAGAATGTCTCCTATTTAGTGAGAAAAAACCTAAAATGTCTCCACCGGCCACTTCTTCGAAAATGAGGTTGAGAATTCAAGTTGCAATTATATGACGTTATTATATTTACCTAAAGAAAGAAAAAAAAAAAAAAAAAACTTAGACCGTCTTCTCAAGTTTTGCTGTCTCCATCATAATTCTATGGTGCACGCCTTGGTGTGAAATTGATAATAGTTATGTCCCTCGCAAACCAGTCCCTTTAGTCTTATATATACACAAAGTATGGGAAGTGACGTACATTAGGGACTACTTGTTCGTTCACACGAAGCTTGATGTACAATTTCAATTCTCTGTGCGTGGAAGTTCAATTTCAATGTCCTAATCAAAATTTCAGATATACATATAGATGTCCTAATCAAATACATATATATATATAGTCATTTTATGTATGTATCAATTGTAATAAGATGTGAAAATTTTAGAATATCGTTTCGGCAGCAATACTGGGGTGGCCACCACAGTAGCGTATATAGGAGGCCACCAGATGAGACAGTGACAAACACGTGGACGGCCCATCGATGCATATATGTTTGAATAATATATATATATATATATATATATATATATATAAGGTTTTGGAATTTAATTTTCAAATGATCGAGTGCTTAATCATTGAGTTTAACTTTGTGTGCACAAACTGAATGGGACCTAATAGGGTCACGACAGATGAGTCACAGCACATGTTTTTGATAAGTCTTTAAAGCGTATACTATCTCATTCCAAGTACGTTCTTCGTGATGGCTTATACAATATATATGACCTGTGTTTGAATAGTTGGAGCCACTCCTTGTTTCTACAAACTCAATTCTATATAGAATTATCATGTTAGCTGTATGCACACACAGCTAACACGATATATATATATGCATGTTTGAAAATTTACAATTACCTGTATAAATATATATATATATGTATATATCTATTAGTCAATCAATATAAATGGAAACTTGTGTGTGTGTGTGAATCAATATAAATGGAAACTTTTGCGCCCGAGAGAGAGAGAGAGAGAGAGAGAGAGAGAGAGAACTAGCCATTCAAAACAAAAACTTAGGATGCGTTTGGTAACAAGAAATGTTTCTTATTTTCTGTTGTCAATATCTGAAAAGGCAAAACGAAAACAAAAACAGGGTTCAATAAAATATTTTTATTTTTCTATAACATAAAATGTTTTTAATTTTTGTGAAGAAAAGGAGAAATATAAAAATGATATTTCTTATATTTTCGGCATTGTAGTACAGAAACGTTTTCACTAATGTTACTACACCGGCACTATTCATTTCACATAAAATTCATATTATTTGTGTTATATACTAAGTTGTATATTAAATGTTAATTAAAATATATATTTTTAATATAGAATATATTAAATATTGTATATTATTTTTTATTTAATAAAAATATATTTTAATATATAATATATTAAATAATAATGTAAATTATTTTTGTAACAAAATAATTTTTGATATAGAATATAATGTTATTAAATTATTAAGCAGTAAATATTTTATATTATTATATATCATATCTATATTATATTATATGTAAATACTAAATTATAATGAATTTACAATATTATAACACAATATATATTTTATTACATATAAGATATATTATTTAATATTTTTTATTCATAATATATTATCATATGCTAAATATATTATATATCATATAATAAATGTATACATCATGCATATATACATATTTATATACATAATTGGTGGCAATTTTTTACCTTGATATATATAATTTTGTACGTATGATATATTTGGTATTTTTAAGATGTATAATTTTAAATTGGATTTTTTAGATTTATAGATTTTTGATACTAATGGAAGCAAGTATTATGTCTCAGTGATTGTGTTACTCCATGTGTACTCCATGTGTCTGAGAGTTCGTGTTCAAGTCATTTATCCTCTCCCTCACCCTCCCTTCTAATCACAACTTCTAAAATTCTTGCCATAAAAAAAATAAAATACAAATGAAAAAATTAAAAAATAAAATAAAAAAATATTATGTATATTTTGTAACAAATATATTGTATTACTAAATACTGTTATTGTTTTATATTTTTAAATTTGTGGTAATAATAAGTGTTAATAAATATTATTTCTGCTTTTTATTTTTATTTAAAAAAATAAAATTATATTTTTACTTTCTTAAAACTGTAAAAACAGAAAACAAAAACGTTACTAAATGCACTCTTAATAATTTTTAAAAACAAAATTCTTTCTTATCAGAATGTCATGAGCAACCTAAAAAGACTTTTTACACACATGAATATATCACATGTCTAATATATTGCTGACTTTTCTAACTTGGAAGATTATGGTGAATCTGCTGAAGATACACACATGTATATATTCTTTAAATATACTCCTATATGTTAACATTATAATTTAAAAGGATAGTTTACTTTTCTATGTAAAAGTAAATTTTTTAACTTTAGTTATCATAAATTCAAACAGTGAATATCAGCCACAAATGGAGAAATAGTGGTCATGAACCTCTGTGATATAAAGAATCTTGCAATAATTTAAAACTAATTTTGCTTTAATTCCAAATTTGAGCATACTTTAAAAAATAATATAATAGTAAAATTTTACTATTATAATGATAAATTTAAGTCACCACTACCATGAAAATGGAATTTTAAAATAAAAATTAAAATTTGCGATGCAGAGGAAAGGACAAATAAAAAATAAATAAACTCAGACAAATTTAATTCCTGATGCCTGTATAAATGGAAGGAAGGTCATGTCAAAGTAGTGTAAGATTTCCGCATGCTGACTGCTGACCATTTTAACATCCTATGCAGGCGGCACTACGTGTTTTTGTCTTCCATACAACTAAAATATGAAAAATAAATAAATATATTAATTGCATAAAATTTTCACATATTATGAAAATTGTCTATCACTTCATCCTATTCAAACCATAAAATATTAAATCTTTTATATATATTTTTTAAAAATATAAAAAATGTATATTTTTTTCATTCACTTCACCTTAAGTTTATATTAAAAATTAAAAAAAACCTTTTTAGATTTTTTGCATAAAATTCTCAACAATTTTTTAAAAAATTCATATTAGTTGTTGTTTCTAAGAAGTAATTTGTAAATTTTAATAGTAAGAGAATTAGAACAATTGAATTTTAAAAAATAATTTAAAATTTTAAGACACTTTTAAAACTGAATTTTGTAAGAATTGAATTTTTTTAAGTGTTGAAAATTTTAAAGTGATAATTAAAAAATAAATATTTTTTAATAAAAATTGAAATATACGGCGAGTCTTTGACTCGTGTTCCATACAATTTCAGTGACGAATAATATCACTTGAATTTTACAAGTGGTACTTACTGTATTTAGAAATATTTAAGTTATGTTTTTAAACATATTTAATTTATTCAAAATTAAATACTGAATTGAATTATCAAATCATATGCTTTGTTTACAAACTTTTAACAATGCAAAGAAGTTAACTTTATTTTAGAATCTCATGTAAATTATTTATACTGGAGAGAGTTTTGTATAATTAATCTAAAAAGGGCCAGGGAAAAAAAATAACAAAAAAGATAGGAAAAAACTCGGTGTATATCTATATTTTATACTCCGTATAATTTTTTATACACATGCTCCGTATAATTTTTTATACACAACTTGCTCTCTCTCTCTCTCTCTCTCTCTCTCTCTCTCTCACTATATTTCACAAAAATCCTCTAATTTTCGACTCCCTTTTCGGTTTAGCCGCACTGCTCGCTATACGCGCCTCCATCGTCCTCTTCTTTGACACATAGGGTTTCTAGGGTTTTCAGAGCCTTTATGCACGGTTGTTCCAAGCCTTTTTATGGTTTGCGGAGCTGGATTCGCTGTCGTACCTCAGAAGAATATCCATGCGCCGCTGGTTCAGTGGTTTCGTTGATTAGGGAAGGTCTCTCTCTATCTATCTCTGCACTGGACCACAACAAGCTCTGATTTTTCATCACCAAGCAGAGAAGCTAGGGCTAGGGTTTCATTCCTTGATTTTTGGTATGAGTTTTCGGTGTATATCGTTTCCCAATAAGACTCGATTAGGGCAAGGTTGATTGTTATTGGACTTCATTTCTGGTATTTTTGGGAGGGTTGGGGTTGGATTTGAATGGCATTGGGAGATTTGATGGCGTCTCGATTTTCTCAATCGTCAGTTGCGGTTTCGAATCACTTGGATGAGTGTTCGAACCATGAAGACGGGGATTTTGTTGGCCACAGAAGGGATAGGGACTCTGAGACGGCAAGTAGCAGTTATGGCAATGTCACCACAACAACAACAGCGACGAGCATGGCATATTTACCGCAGACGATTGTATTGTGTGATCTTCGACATGAAGCATTCGAGGCTTGTGTTCCTTCTGGCCCGTCTGATAGTGGCTTGGTCTCAAAATGGCGGCCCAAGGACCGAGTAAGCTCAGGCTTTGTTACATCCCATTTATCCTTCTTGTTTTTTTTCCCTCCATTCATCATTTATCTTCATTGTTGTTTCTTTGCGAATTTACACTTTTTATTAAGATTTATTCTTGGTTCAGAACATATTGTGCTCCTGTTTTATGTGATTGCTACATTGGCTTCATTTTTTCAAGCCTTGAAAAAATATATAAACTCAATTAAACCCATTTCACCAGATTATTGGAAATTATATAAAGTATGAGAACTGGACAAGGTGTTTATGCTAGTGTTAAGCAAATTGTGCAGAGAACCATTGTTGTTAACATGGTGTCTAGCAAATTATGTCTCACTTGCAAGTCAAAGTTGATGTAGGATCATCATTATCAAAAGCCTCAGTTAATCTATGTTTTTATATTGTGGGTTCGATTCTTGATATGATTGACGGCTTTTTTGACCATTTCAACTATGATACACTGCTAATGAAATGGTAGATTGGAGGGTTTGTGGTAGTTTGCAGTATGGAGCATGTTTGTCTGCTTAATGAGTCCAATTGTCTAGGGCTGTGTTTATTCTTTTTACCCACAAGTATATAGAAGAGTTCCGTTGAGGACACCTGCATTACCGGTGGAGTATTTATTCTCTTTTCTCATAAGTAGGCAGTAGATTTCCAGGGCAAAGCAAGTTGACTGAAGATCTAGGACATCTGCACTACAAATAATTATGATGATTGTATAAATTCATCTTGTGCAACTTTGCTAACTACTTTTATTCTACGTTTGGCTTGTAGTAATAGGAAAATGTAAAAAAAATTGCATTGTGAAATGGAATAAAAATGATGGATGACCAGATTTGTCATTCTCATTTGACTGATGGTGGTGAATATGGATAATGCAGGAATGAAATTGTCATTCCCTTTTTCAGTTTTTGGTTAGATAAATTAAATGTTGGTAGGACTGCAAATGAACTTAAGTCATTCATGAGCAGCCTCGGTTTGACTTATCAAGTGTTCAGTTTCTGTTTGTTTGCCTAGTAAACGAGTTGGGTTCAATCAAATTTTCAAGCTTGTTAAGTAATCCGGTCGATTACCAATAACTTTTTGCAAACATGTTCATGAATAGGTGTTGATGAATAGGTTTGTTACTATTTAGAACAACTCATTTATATGTGATTGCTAGGGTCTAACTAATTTGTTCCTTATCAATCTTGATTTCTAGCTTGAGTTTGAGCTTGAGAGCAAATTAGGTTTGAGATTTAAGATTTGACAAACCAGTTGACCTCTAGTTGGCAAATAGTGGTTAATCCAAGCTTGAAGGTTAATATTTGCCCTGACTCGAGGTTGAGCTGGGTTTGAATAACTATTTGATTAGATTCGAGTTGGAAGATTTGATTTGAGTTCTAATCCAATTTGAAGCCCATTTCATCAGGTTTGGACTTTAATTTTAAATCCGAATTAAAAGACATGTTGGATATTATTTTCTTCAGTAGAGTTGCCTCAAATCATATTATTTTTGGGTATAAGTAGGGTGAAAAAATAGATCAAGTAAAACTATGACCTAATCAAATTTGAGTTAGATTTTACTGAGTTATAACTTCTTTGGATTTTGTAGGATTAAATGGGTCGGAAGTGGATTATGTTCACAATATCCAACTTGGATTCAAATGTGGATTCTGGTGTTTGAATATTGATGTGGATTCCAATTTACATGTGTCCTTTCCAGTCCACTCAATTTCATACTCGAGTGTGAAAGAAATGGTATATAAATTCATTTCTAAAAAATATCCAACACATCAAATTTTTAGTTGGAGGAGTTGTGGTTTCGGTTGGAGGAGGGAATCATGGGGACAAGTATTGGTAGATTTAAACAGATCCATAGAAGGGTTGTGTACAGTGTGGAAAATTTTAATTTGATTTGTCGACCAACTAAAGTTGCCCAACAAATCTAATGGACTTTTTGGGTTTTGACCCATTTAGATTGGCCTCTTTCAACCTGTTTATAAACAATTCGTGGGGCCAGTGATCACGTTTGCATTGATTTTTTTGGCTCATTTAAATCAATTGATTGGGTTCAATTCGAACCCTCTGGGCCCAACGTGTCATTGTGCTATGCTTTTCTCAAAAATATCACTTTATTTAACATGTTGTAAACATGTAACAGTGATTTTATTATTTATTTAATTATTTCTTAATAAATTTAAATTATTAGTGGTTTTTGAAATAAAAATTCTTAGGCTTAATTTAAAATTAAAAGATTAAGATAATGGAGTGAAAAAGTTAGACATGTTGGGTTGGGGATCATGCAATTTGAATGACAATTTATGTTCGGTAACAAGATCCCTTTAAAAAATGAGTAAGATTCAGGTGGAACATACTCTTGTTATTATAGGTATGGAACCCAATTTGACCTTATGCATTACCACTGCTATCTGGATTGAAGTGAAACCATTTTGGCGACAAAATGAACTTAATGAAATTTGAGAAAATGATACTTGTTTTCAATTTGTGGAGTATATCTGTTGAGTTTTGTTTGTTGTGATTCTGTGATGAATTGGAATGTCGATGTCCTGCTGATGAATAGCATTCTGACTTTCATTGGAATCAAATTCTTTGAATGGTTAATTTGTTTGATAATCTAATCAAATCCTCTTGTGCAACTCATAATGCTTTATAAAATTGAAATGCATATCTTATAAACACAGCTATTAGACAGACCATGGTTAATGAGACATAAAGGTTGGCAACTACGGAACAAAATATTTATTAAATGTGTGTCGTAGAATTGGTGAATGTTGAGACGGATGTGTGACAAGACAAAAAGGATAAAATTAGAATAAACACATTCGTGGGAAAAGAGGATTTGTTAAGTTGAGCTGATGTATCTCTTGTATGGATGGCAGGATTACTTGTCATTGAGTATAATACAATACATACACTACTTACCGCAAAGGGGGGAAACATTCACAAATAAGAAACCATTCTTCTGTTGGTTATAATACATCTAATTTTGATATAACCAAAAAGGCATTCAATGATAATCTTCTGAAAGTATTGTTACATATGTGATCGTATGTCAGATTCTTTTTCTATGGAACACTTAATAAGAATCACAAAATTAGGTTTGGATGATTAATGGGGAAATGCCTCTAGACCTAGGTGGAATTGTTATACCCCTAGCAAATTTAGGGAAAACCTCCCAAACATTTGTTTCGAATTGCTAATGATGACTTTTCTTTAATACATAGCAATGCATTTCCAATCTCTTTATTCTTTCCTGGTTGGCTGAGATATTCCTTCTGAATTTGACTAAAAAAAGTAAAGTATTAAAGGTGTCTCTTGCTCGGTTCTAGCACAATCTGCCTGGTAGGGTGCAAAAGTTTCATATGCTCTTTTATTATTATTTTTTGAGTTGTCTTTTCTTAGCAGTTTCATTTTGTAGTTCATTCTTGTTCAAAGTTAAGTAGTTGATATTATATATATATATTATATTTACACGTCCTTTCTGTTTTAATGACGCACTGTTATTGCAGATGAAGACAGGATGTGTTGCTCTCGTTTTATGTTTAAACATTAGCGTTGATCCACCCGATGTGATTAAGATATCTCCTTGTGCCAGAATGGAGTGCTGGATAGGTACAATTATCACACTGCTTGTTCTTTTTTATTACTTTTGTTTGTTTGTCGTGGAAAATTTATTGCTATATTCTTCTTTTATGATTTATCTGCTGCTACTGGAAGTTTCCACTTATATCTTTCATGCCTAACGTGTGACCTTTTTAATATTTATCAATATCATTATCTATGGAATCTTGGGGAAATATGATTTAGTTGCATATGTGGAATGATTTGAATCATCATTTGATGGATGATTCCGTTATCCCTGAACTGGTCGATTTTGATTGTTCCTTTTAATTTGCCAAAAACAAATATATTTGTTTTGTTATATGTTACTGTTGGTCTTAGATTCATACTCCAGAGCTTTGTTAATATGTTAGAATCGTGTTCTATTTAACAGCCTTAGCTTAAAAAAATTTCTTTTATGTGTACTTATCAAAGAAAAAAAAAGATTTTCTTTCATTTATTTTTAACAAGATCCTCTTGCCCCATTCATTTATTCTACTTTTCCAATGTTGGTACTCATACATCTGAATTCTGAAAATCCCCAACTACTCGTTTAGTGAATATGTTCATTGTTTTGTTTGTTAATTTGCTCAATATAATAGAGTAGTTGGTTCCATAGCCTTCCTATATACTTTTTTTCTTCTCGTAAGGCAATGAATCAACATGCTAGGAGCATATATTCACTTTGTTGATCTATCTTCATTTCTTTGGGTAACATTCATCTAAATCTTTCCCGCACACTAAGAGTTTTGGAGTTTTGAATGACTCATAGCCTTTTTGATGAGCTTGTGTGATTTCTACATGATCCCATATAAAGTTGTTATTATTATCCTTAGGGAAATCTCTGTCTAAATAAAAATAAGTTGGACTAGCATAAACTGATGGATACCATAATCTGCTTTTGATCTTTAATCTCCTGGTAGTCTTACAGTTGCTGTCATTTATTGTCTCTTTTATGCTGCTTTTACTGATTGTAATTGCAGATACTGCCATTATTTTTTTGGATCCACTTTCTAGTTTGTGGTCAATTGGTTTGTCAGCCATTTTTCATAGTGCTGTTTCAACGCCCAAAAGTACTAGTCTCCTATAATCTTCCATGACCCACTTAAAAAGGTGATGACCACACATTACGCACCTGATGTAGGTCTCAGGTCACGTCAGCGAACGTGCTCCTTCTCCCAGACCTTTGCATCCTCGCATGGGGGCGTCATAGGGTCAGTTCAACACTTAAATGAACTTCTCACTCGTGGGTGTAGGGTTCCCTGCACCCACTTAAGAAGCTCAGGATCACCCAATCGGACCTGATGTGGAACTCAGAACAAGTCTGCGCATTCCTGCTAGCTGCAAAATCTCACCAGTTTAACTGCCTTTGTTTAAATTGGCGAGAAATCAAATTTAGCAAGATAGAAAATACTGTAGTGGTTGCAAAATACAGATGCAATCAATAAATTGGGCAGCACCTCTTATCTACCATTTATTGGTCATTGTTTTCGAAGAATCTTCTTCGGGCGCAGAACTAATTGCAGGAAGGATTTTATCACCCTGGCAGAGCAGCTCATCTCGTTTCTGTAGGAGTGCCATGTTATTCTATGGAGAGCTTTGCATCATATTTTGGCATCGTTAAATACTGTAGTGGTTGCAAAATACAGATTCAATCAATAAATTGGGCAGCACCTCTTATCTACCATTTTTTGGTCATTGTTTTCGAAGAATCTTCTTCGGGCGCAGAACTAATTGCAGGAAGGATTTTATCACCCTGGCAGAGCAGCTCATCTCGTTTCCGTAGGAGTGCCATGTTATTCTATGGAGAGCTTGGCATCATATTTTGGCATCGTTGTCAAGTTCTTTTGGCATAGGGGATGACTTTACCGGGAACGAGGGTGTGATACTTCTTTTAATCCTGTTTTAGGCATAACTTTTAGACAAAGAACTTTACAAGTTAATTATCTGACTTGCTGTGTCATCCTCTGAATGCTACGCAGAATCAGTGATTGGGATTGTTTCAAATCAACTTCATGTTTCATAGCTTTAATTAGGGCTGCAAGTTAACTGAGCCAAGATGAATTTGGGATCTTTTCAGCTCAGCTTGGTTTGTGAGTTTGTGGAATATTTTGTTAAGAAGATCTTGTTACTTTTCATATATTTACTACAATTTGTTATTTTCCTTATTAAATAAATGGGTATTAAGCTTTTCAAATCATTGCATATCCTATTAGGCATATGTTCGCAAGCCAATGGAGCTGAACCTGTTGTCGTTTCTCAAGCTTGTTATGTTAATGAACAATCTCTTAGTGACTGTTTGAGCTCCCATACTCTTTTAATGGATAAGCATGAGCCAAGCCTTTGATGAACCGAGCCTGAGTGCTTCATGCACTGTTTGATTTATTTGCAACCCTAACTATAACTATATATCTATGATTCCATTTGAATCTTTGATTAAGTTACACTCCCTTATGGGCAGATATGCTGAATAATTCACCTTCAAAGTGCTTAGATTGTGGCTCCTGTATGTGAGCTTCCTTGTTTCCTTTTGCTGTATCGATTTGCTTCAAAAATATGTTTTGGTATTGCTGTTAACATGCACATATGCATGTATACGTGTGTATTCAACTCTAGTTTTCATGTTCCAATATTTAGCCCCTTCATTTGTCTCCTTTTGCAATCAATTGAAGCATTATTGAAAGTAAGTTGCTAATACGTCCTAATATAAAAGAAAAGGTTCATTCCCTTCTGCTATTTTCTTATACTCTCTGTTTTTTGCAGATCCATTCTCTATGGCACCTCAAAAAGCTCTTGAAACCATTGGGAAAACCTTGAGTCTTCAGTATGAGAGGTGGCAACCAAAGGTAAGAAGATTTTTACTTTCTTATTGTTTTATCAAGTTCAGATTTGATCTAAATTTTGGAGTTTTGAGCAGGCTCGCTACAAGATCCAGTTAGATCCTACCGTGGATGAAGTGAAGAAACTTTGCACTACATGTCGCAAATATGCCAAGTCTGAGAGAGTTCTGTTTCACTACAATGGACACGGTGTGCCAAAGCCAACTCCCAACGGTGAAATTTGGCTGTTTAATAAGGTTCCATTACTGGTCTGGCTTTTTCCATGACATTTTTGCTCATCATCTGCTAGTTATTTGTCTTGTTCTGACTGAAGCATTTGGTGTAGAGTTATACACAATATATCCCTTTGCCGATCAGCGAACTTGATTCCTGGTTGAAGACACCATCAATATACGTTTTTGATTGCTCTGCTGCTGGAATGGTTGTCAATGCCTTCATAGAGGTATTCAAGATTGTCCTCCTCCTCCTCCTCCTCCTCCTCCTATCTCTTAAATGCTGACTTGATTTTCCATGTTTATATAGCTCCAGGAATTGAGTATGTCGAACTCCTCTGGACCCTCCTTGCGGGATTGCATTCTGCTTGCTGCTTGTGAAGCACATGAAACTCTTCCGCAGAGTGATGAATTTCCTGCTGATGTGTTTACGTCCTGCCTTACCACACCCATTAAGATGGCATTGAGATGGTAATGCATTCTCTTTATGCCTTTTTGTTTTGATAATCATTATTTATTTATTTATTTATTGGAGTGTATTCCAACTTCTGGCGAGATTGCTAACCGTGTTACTTGTCTGTGGTAATCCATCTTCAGGGTCCAACATCTTAATATTTATCACAACCTTTTTTCATGAACAACTTTGTATATTATATTTATTTCTTAATTTTCATAATTTAAATTCTTCTGAGATGAACAACATTATTAGGGCGGGTTTAAATTGGTTGGGTTGTACAATTTAGGAAAGGGCTCTATAACACTGCAGTCAAATGGGAATTTGGTCATTATGATTTGAAATTTTCATGGTTTATGACTGAAATATTTTCTTAAATGTGACATCCATGGTCATTGGCCAGCCTATTGTTAAAAAAATTGGCATCTGGAAGAAATAAGTTCCCCTCATGTTGCACTTGCAATGTCACATCTTTCACTGTCGGGCCAAAAGCCCGTAGAAAAGAAGTAAGGTGATGGTTGTTAGATGGACAACATATAATTAATAGACTTACAATCACGTATCTCATGAGCATGAAATCCTAGAGATAAAGGATGCTTCATTCTTTTGTTCTGGAGGATGATTGATTATGTTACCAGTAAAATTGAGATAGTAAAATTCTTAAAAAATGATGTGATCTTTTAAGTCTTCCTGAGCGATCATTTTATTTACTTTGGCTCTTATCTTGAAACTGGTTTAGGACATGTGTTGATGAATCAATTTGATTATTTCCCCTTTTGGACGGAGTTCCCATAAAAGAACCTATTAAGATTTAGTTTTAAGTTGTGGTGGCTGCTGTGATGTTAATGTGAATCATCTACATGCGAGATTGAGCGTTTGTCCTGTCCAAATGATGCCAGACACATTTGTTACCGTTTTGGTGTTTCATTTAATTTGTGCTTACCTTGAAAGTAATGGTTGTTTTGGGTTATTAACTATGTTTTTATTTATCGGGCTTGCTGACCTTCTAATTGTCATGTCCTGTTTCATAGGTTCTGCACTCGCTCATTACTGCGTGAAGCTTTTGATTATTCACTTATAGACAAAATTCCTGGCCGCCAAAATGATCGGAAAACACTTTTAGGGGAACTTAACTGGATTTTTACTGCGGTGACTGACACAATTGCCTGGAATGTTCTCCCACACGGTAATGAAAGAAATTTACTGATTTATGTGGCATCATACAGTTTTGTGCATTGCATTTTCGTGTATTTCTGTTTTTGTTAATTTGTGTAGCCTTGACTCAATTTTGCATCCCACAGATCTTTTTCAGAGATTGTTCAGACAAGATCTATTAGTTGCAAGCCTTTTCCGCAATTTTTTACTTGCTGAGAGAATAATGCGTTCTGCAAATTGTTCTCCATTGTCATATCCTCTGTTGCCTCCTACCCATCAACATCATATGTGGTATCTATGGAGATCCCTTTGACATTTTTCTGTTTTGTATTTTTTTACGTGTTTCTCATTCTTTGTCACCATTTGCAATATAGGGACGCATGGGACATGGCTGCTGAAATCTGCCTTTCTCAGCTTCCGACACTGGTCGAGGATCGTAATGCAGAATTCCAGGTGCATTTCCTTAAGTTATTATATTTTGATATGAAATTTTTTACTGATTTGGTACTTTTTAAACTTCTGTGCTTATTATTGTATTTATTACTTCTGATTGATAATGTGTTTGCTCTGTTTCAGCCAAGTCCTTTTTTCACAGAACAATTGACGGCTTTTGAGGTGTGGCTTGATCATGGTTCTGAGAAGAAGAAACCACCAGAGCAGTTACCAATTGTTCTTCAGGTGTGGCTCTTCTGATGGTCCTTGTCAAGTGTGGGGCCATATATTTGTTATTTCTTTTTTTCTAATATGGTGACTTGAAATAAATTTTCTGGGATGTAGGTTTCATGATTTCCGCTTCTCCTGTCAAGTCCTGTTTCTTTAGTTTTGATTGGGTAAGGTTGGGTGAAGATTTTCACTCTTTATTGCTATAGATTGACCAATCTTTTAATCATTTGGTCAATGACTCACTAACTTGTTGAAGTCATTTAGGAGGAATTTGACTTGATCAGTTGTCTGTAGGAGAGTCTGTATCTTAGTCTCTCCAAGTTTAAAATACACTTGTGCAAGAATCTGAAGTTACTGGTTTTTACTATGAAAAGTAGAAATAATTGGCACTACAGACTCGGAGTTTCTGATGGAATTTGCCTCGAATGCCAGTGTTCAGTGAGAATTACCTTTTTGCTTGGCTGTGGACTTGAATGGCTTAGGTGAAAGAGCTGCCTCTAGGCATAGCAGTTGCTTCATGGTAGATTGTGGGATAACATTTCAATTAGTAAATTAAATGATGATTCATCGCGTGCAATGCAACCATTTTGATTTTGTAGTCAATACTTTGTGATATATCTATCTATTCCATTCTCTTCAAATGCTGAGGATGCTCTTGAATGAGATATTTGGAATAAATTAATCAGATGACTTGATTGTCCATGGAGGAGAAAACCCATTACTTAGGTGACTTTTATATATTTATTCCAACAGATTTTTGGAAGCTCCCATGGTGATGATGCTGATTGAGTTGCCAGTGGTACTAATTTCTCTCAAGTTGAGTTTGAAGAAAAAAGTAACATTCTCGTTGGAATCTAAAGTAAGGATAGGGGCCACTGAATTCCTCCCTAGATCCGCAGGAGTAATATTTAAAACCAATTTCCCCTTAAGCATATTGCTCCTGCAAATAGAAAGAGAAGATTGGGTGCCCCAATTCTCCACTTGTAATCCCTCCTGTTGAAGTTCACTCTAATTTTGTTTCTTAAATAAAATGCATCTATGCTATATAATATTGTTTGCTTTAAATTGTATATTCTGATACTGATGAACATGATCATTTTTTTTGTTTTGTTAGGGAGGGTTCTGTCTCATCATTTCAATATATATGCTCACTTTGCTTTTCATTTTTAATGGCTTCTGTTATTTTTTTTACTTTTCCTTAAGAGTATAATGACGGAGAATAAAAACTTTCCATATTTTAGGTTTTACTTAGTCAATGCCATCGATTTCGTGCTCTGGTGCTTCTTGGAAGATTCCTTGATATGGGCCCTTGGGCTGTAGATCTGGTAATCATTTGTGGCTGTACAATCATTGTTTTTTTTACTAGTTTATGGTGGTCTCATTTGAAAATGGACTTTGGAACGGATTTTATGTTCTCGCAGGCATTGTCTGTAGGAATATTTCCATATGTTCTAAAGCTGTTGCAAACAACTACTCCAGAACTACGCCAAATTCTTGTATTTATATGGACGAAGATCCTCGCACTTGATAAGGTATATCTTGGAGAGAGATTTTTTTTATTTTATTTACTAGATATTTTTTAATGAACTTTGTCACTACTGTTAGAAAACAATATTTTGTTATTATTATTATTACCACTATGTTATTTTGTTTTACCAATCTCTGCCAGTCTTGCAATAATTAGAGTTCCGGATTTTTCCTTATCTTTCATTATGTTTTTCATCCTTCTTTTTACGTACTGTTGTATTTACTCAAATTTTGTCTTGTGGAATGATAGTCGTGCCAGGTTGATCTGGTTAAGGATGGTGGGCACACATATTTTATTAGGTTTCTTGATAGTGTGGAAGCATATCCAGAACAGCGTGCAATGGCAGCATTTGTTTTGGCAGTGATAGTAGATGGACATAGACGGGGTCAAGAAGCCTGTATTGAAGCTGGTTTGATTCATGTGTGCTTGAAGCAGCTTCAGGGTTCAACTTCAACTGATGCACCAACTGAACCACTATTTCTTCAGTGGCTTTGCCTCTGTCTTGGAAAGCTGTGGGAGGATTTCACGGAGGCGCAAATAATAGGTCTGCAGGCAGATGCCCCTGATATATATGCACCTCTTCTTTCTGAACATCAACCTGAGGTTTGCGTTGTTTCTTTGTAATTATGTTTACCTTCTAATAAGTTCTTAAAGTTGTTCATTTAATCTTCAGCTTCGATGATGTAGAAGGCACTTGGTTTCAGGTTAGAGCTTCTGCTGTTTTTGCACTGGGCACCCTGCTTGACGTTGGGTTTGACTCATCTAGAGATGGTGTTGGAGGAGATGTAGAATTTGATGATGATGAAAAAGTTAGGGCTGAAATTAGTATTGTCAAGAGCCTTTTAAATGTTGTTTCAGATGGAAGTCCTCTGGTTCGTGCAGAGGTTGCTGTAGGTATGTAACAATTTGTGTTACCCCTCAGATGAAAAGTAGTTTGATAAAATTGTTTGCTGTTTCCAAAATACTTAGTTGTTTCTTTTGTTTCTTGAAAACAATTAACAATTGCAGTTAGGTTTCTGTTTGATTTCGAAAAGTGAACTGGATATTTTGTTGGCTGTAAAATCTTCGCACATTATCTGTAATATCACTGTCATTTCTGTCATTCACTCGCATCATCTTTTCTTTGCCTAATTAGAATATCCTTCAAGTTCTGGTTAGCCCCCGAGTGCAATAGATCTAATGACCAGGGAAAAAGAGAAAGAGGGATGTTAAATACTGTATATGTACTAAGAGTTGCATTGCAGTTAAGTGATTGAAGAGGCATATGAATTCTGAAGATTAGATATATGCTACACCAGCACATTTGGTTGTATCAACTGAAGAAGAAGAATGCCTTGGCCTTCATAATGCTGCACATGCTATAGTTAGTCTTGATGTTTAGTGCATGATTTATGGTTTTTGGCTTATGTTACACTGACTTTTCAGAAGAAGTGAAGTACCCGTGTCGGACACATATTGCTCAGACGTGGGTATGGGATATGTGTCCAACAGTTTTGGTTGGACATTACTTAAAAAGCATATCAAATCATTCAATTTTATTATATTATTACTTTAAATCGACTTAAATGCCTATATTGAACACTTTGTTACATAAAAACTTTACTTCATTCTAGTAAAATAAAATAATTTAATAAAATGAATATTTAGTAGTGTCCATGAGTCCAAGCGTCTGGAGATTTGACATGTCCGATGCACGGACACGTACCCGTACCCGACACATGTACACGAGTCCATGTAACATAGGTTTTTGGTGAGTGTCTTGCCATGAACAACTTAAATTAAATGCCTAAATAGCAGATGGATGAAATGAATATTTATTGGAGCTTCCTTTAGCTGTTTACCTTCTCATTTTGATTTTTTTTTTTTTTGAAAAGGTTGGATCAATCCCCTTTCTGGAATTGTTCAATGGATTTTTTTGTTAATTATCAGTTCAGAAATCATGTCGTGATTTCATAGTTTTTTATCGCAAGGTTGTTGAGATTGGGATTGTATGTTAGATAGACATGGAGTACTAAAGACCTGATTGGGAACCATAAGATTTTACCAAATGAGAGAGCTAATGCCTGACATTATTTTTGTATCATAGGATTCTTGAAATACTCATTGAACAAGTTTAACTAATGAAAAAGCATAGTAAGATATGAAGACAATGACTTAAAACGCGAGATTTCAATTATTCCAAGTCTTTTCTAATAATTTTGGAGGACATTAGCTCTCACATAAACAGAAAGTTATTAGCACAAAGACTTTCAATTTGTATAGAACCAGCTATAAGAGAACATTACAATATTTGATAGATATAATTTTTAAGATGAATTGATTTCATGAACAGGAAATAGTATATAATTTATTGATGATTGCACATAGTATTGAATTATTCAGTGGTTTTTTTTTTTTTTTTTTGGATGAGAAATCAATTGGTTTGAAATATACTAAATGAGTTCTAACCAAACAAGAAGTTGCTGCCTGAACAAAAGAAAGAGAAAAGAGGAACAGGAACCAATGTAGAAATGTACTTGTCAAATGAGTCAAGCTAGTCAACATGAGGATTACATGCCCTAATTTAGTCAGCGTGGCAGTTTAGAGTAAAGCAGAATGGAAGAGTTGTTGCAGAGTCAAAATGATTTACATGGTTGTCGTATTGGGACATTTTCAGTGGATCTTGGTCTTCATTTTATAGTATTAGTTGTGCCTAGCCTTAATTTAATAAGGAACACGAGAATAACCTTATATGGCTGTTTAGTAGGATTGGTATAAATGGGAGCCAGTTTGGTGTTTCATGATTTTAGGGACCTTACAGGGATTCTATGAGGTGTCAGGTGGCCTACCTAGAGCAATTGGCTACTATAAAGCATAATAGAATAGTTTTTGCAGTCAAAAGGACATACAGGAATTGTGTAAGAACTGGTTGGGATTTCAACTTAGGTTAAATGTGTAAATAATTTGTGAAATCTGAGCATTCTTGAAAATGGACCTTCAGATGCAGCTAAGCTAATGGCTGACGGAAAGGTGGTTATATATTCATTTGGTTGCATTCAGTAATACTTTACATGGTCATAATTTGAAATGTGTTAATGTGAGAGTTAAAATGTAAAAACTGTATGCACTTGAATTCATAATGGGAACCTAGATGCCGTTAAGCCTAGGAAGCACGGACACATGATACGGACATGAGGATACGGCAAATCTGAAAAAAAAATAGGACACGGACACAGCTAGGATACGTCAAAAAATTAAATAAATAGTAACATAATATTATACACAAAAATTAACTTTTAATACACATTTAATAGTGTATACTACTATACTTCTAATTTTTCAATATTACTGAACTTATATACTATAACTAAAAAAAACAAATTATTTATCCATTTATGTTAAAATTTTCAACTATGCAATAAATGCAAAATTTAAGAACTTCATTTCTATCATTTAGGCAATCAAACTTTACTAGTTTACTACATAAACATCCATCCTTCATCCTTGGCCGTTTACAAGTTTTTTATTTTTTATTTTTTATTCTATAGAAAAGAAATGAGTAGCTGCAATATTTGTTTCTTTTTGGTAATTGAGAATTTATTAAGAAGGGAAGAAAACCCACAACTGAGCACAAGAGCAAAGGCAATAGGCCTACAACAACGTGATGGATTGGTTGATCAGGAAAAGGTGACTTATTCTGATGTCTAAGAGCGTGTGATGATATCAGCAGGGTCACATTTTAACTCAATAATTTTTAAAATTCAAGTTAAGCACCATTTTTTTTATATATATATTTTTTATATTTTAAAATATTTACAAATGTCACCCCGCTTTATCCAAAACGTGTCCTGGCCTTGTCTTGACGTATCCGTGCCGTGTCCCTGCCATGTCAGTCTCAAAAAAATAATCATTTTAAAATGGGGACAGTTCTAGCCGTTTCAGACACGTGTCCTGCCACATCCCCGGAGTGTCCGTATCCGACACGTGTTTGACATTGCCATGGCACCTCGAAGTTTCCGTGCTTCTTAGCGTTAAGCTGATGGCACAAAAGGGGTCTATATTGTTATTTGGCATCCTACGGTTCTACTTTGCGTGGTTCCATAAATTCCGTCCTTAGTTATTATGCAGTTAAGTTTACAAAAATATCAAGTCAGCTTATTAGATGCAAAACATTTTCTATATCTGCTGTCATAATCTATATACTAGTGATATCTGTTACACTTTTGGGTTGGGTTGAGTGGGTGATATCACATGTAAATTGTTGATGATTTGAGTTAAATTTTACTTTATTATTTTTAATTTATTATTATTATTATTATTATTTAGTTTTTTGTTTTTTTTTGCCCTTTCCAGCTCTTGCTCGCTTTGCCTTTGGCCACAATAAGCACCTGAAGTCAATTGCTGCTGCATATTGGAAACCTCAGCCTAACTCTGTGCTGGGTTCCTTTCCTTCTCTGGCTATCAAGGGTACAGGTAGTGGTTATTCTACTCCAAACCATTACATGCCGCATGGAAGCATTATTCCTCCCCAAATTCGTGATGGGAAGGCCTCCACCAGCAGCCCCCTTGCTACTTCTGGAGTAATGCATGGATCTCCATTGTCTGATGATTCTTCTCAACATTCTGACTCTGGCATATTGAATGACTCTGTGAGTAATGGGGATGTTAACCACACAAGGCCAAGACCCCTAGACAATGCATTGTATTCACAATGTGTGTTGGCTATGTGTACACTAGCCAAGGATCCATCACCACGCATTGCAAGCCTTGGCCGGCGAGTACTCTCCATTATTGGGATTGAGCAAGTGGTGACAAAGTCTGTCAAGTCCACTGGCAGCAGTGTTCGGGCAGGTGAACCCACAGCAACTGCAACCCCTAGCTTTACTGGACTAGCTCGTTCATCTTCTTGGTTTGACATGAATGCAGGTTATTCTTCTTGGCGGTTCTCTATTATATTGTGTCTTGGTGGTTCTCTATTTGATCATCTACTAATATTCTTATTTGCAGTTGACTTAACAGTGTGATCAAAGTTGCAACGTTTTAGCCATAATGTATCAGCTTTCAAATACTGTGTTGCTATTTCTTGTGTCATTGTATTCTTGTTATGCTTATGTTAGATTCTTTTGAGCTATTTTACAGGACATTTGCCCCTGACATTTAGAACCCCTCCAGTTAGTCCTCCTCGATCAAGTTACTTAACAGGAATGCGAAGAGTTTGTTCCTTAGAATTCCGGCCGCATATAATGAGTTCTCCTGACACGGGATTAGCCGATCCGCTTATTGGTTGTGGTGGATCTTCTGTGGTCTCAGAGCGCAGTTTTCTTCCACAATCAATAATCTACAATTGGAGTTATGGTCACTTCTCAAAGCCACTTCTTACCCCAGCAGATGATAGTGAAGAAATAATAGCTAGAAAAGAAGAGAGGGAAAATATTGCCGTTGACCATATAGCAAAATGCCAGCATTTTTGTGGGTTCTCTTAACTAATTGATCTCCAGTTCTCTCTCTTCTTGGCTGACATTTTTGTTTTGAGGATCTAATACAATTTTGGTTTCTTTTTCTTTTCCAGCTGTAAACAAACTACATAATCAAATTGCAAGTTGTTATACAAAATTTGAGACAGCTACGAAAACAGCGTTACTGCTGCCTTTCTCTCCGGCTGTAATTACTGCAGATGAGAGTGAACGAATAAGGTACACTAATCTCTCTTTACATTGGCTCCCTCCACCGGAGATTTTTTTAGGAAGCATTGACTGTGTCCTAAGAACAACAATGTAGTATGTTCACATGATTGGAAATCGGTGTTAAGCATAAGTTTCAGTGTAATTAATTCCATGCTCGCAATAGGTTTGCATATTTGTGATCTGGATTTGACATGTTCATGGCTTTACATTCGTTTGGCAGAAAACAATTTAAGATTGGGTACTTAGATTGAGCAGAGGTTAAATGGAAATAACCTCATCCAAATAATAGAACAAAAATAATAAAAGTACTTAGAATATTTTTTTTTTTTCTCTATAACTAATTTTTAGGCTGAGAATTTTTAAAGAATTTTGACGAACGTGTTGAAAATATGGTGGAATGGGCTAAATAATGTAGAAGCTCTCAGTTATTTTGGAAAGTTAGCTCTCACTATGACAATTTGGTCCAATTTGGAATTTAGTGAAAATCATTCTTCTTAGGTTTTCATGAATATGATACAATGCATTGATGTCACTATGTAAGGTGCAGTTGTGAGTCAATATTCATGAAGACAACAATGGGCTCGGCTGTTTGTCCAACCTGCCTCATCCTACCTTAAAAGCATTGAATTCAGATTATTTAAATATTCAAAAGCCAGCACATTCGGGGGAGCTTTTTAAATTTTCTCTTGAATTTAGAGTGCAGTTTAGGTTTGGATACCCGATTCCTTTCCTAGTTAACTTTTTGGAAAGATCTAGCTGGCATTCCTTTAAAAAGCTTTTTATCAAAGCCACCTCATTTGTACCCTTAGTTGAGTTTGGTTTCTTCATTTTTATTTTCTCCTTTTCTTGATGAACTGGGTAATTGTAAAGACCTAGGAAGCACGGACACTCCAAAATGGGCGAAGAATCCATGTCCGACACGTGTCGGACACGGATACGTGTCGGACACACTCCGACACGTGTCGGACACGCCAAAAAACGTGTCTGGAATTTTTTTATTTTTTTTAATTTTCGGACACAGCTCGGACACACTTTTCTGGAATTTTTTTTATTTTTTTTATTTTTAATGCTGATATGTTAATTTTTTTTTTTTTTTAATTTTTTTTTAATGCTGATATGTTCTATTTTTTGTTATGTACTACCCTAAAGATGCTGATATATATATATACTAACCTAAAGATGCCACAATTCGCCGTGTCCGTGTCCTAAAGATGCTGATATATATATACACTAACATATCAGTGATATATATATATATTCCAACCTAAACATATCAGTGTTTTTTTTTAAAATTATTAATGCTGATATATATATATATATATATATATATATATATATATATATATATATATATAGTATTGGCCGTGTCCGTGTCCTAATTTTTTTAGATTTGCCGTGTCGTGTCGTATCCGTGTCCGTGTCGTATCCGTGTCCCGTATCCGTGTCCGTGCTTCTTAGGTAAAGACAATCCCAAAATACATTCATGTTGATTGAGTTGTTCATATTGAGATTAAATTATGTTTTGAATCCCTTTTAACTTTGTTTAGCTATAATATCAAAGGATGTTTTGTAGTTAGTCAGTGTTTCATGTGGTTCCAGTGACCATAGCATTTTCTCCATGTGGTAGAAGCTCACGGCTGTTGTATGTGGAAAAACGTAGAGCTTTTGAGTAGGGATGGCAAAATAGACAGTCCATTTGGTTGTTTGGACAGGACGGGTTTTACATTGAAAACCCTTGTAGGTGGTAGGGACGGGGGAAGGTCACCCCGGCCCGCCCAATTTATAATTCAAAAATATTACTTTATTCTTATACCTTATATGTTTTGTACGAAATTGACCTTGTTGGAAGAATGTTGATGTTTATTTGGCTAATTTCGTAGAATTGTTTAAATATTGGAAGAATGTTTATATGCTTTATATTCCTAAATATGAGTTTTTAAAATTTGAGTCGGATAGTGAGGAAACAAATTTGGGTAGGAATTAGAAACGGGGCAGGGGAACTTAAACTGGTGCGGGGGGGTTTGCTAAACGGTTTTGGACGGGAATGGGTGGGGAAGTTTAGACGGGGGCAGGGACGGGGAAGGGCCTCGCTGCCCAAACCCGACTCGTTGCCATTCCTACTTCTATGGCTCCCAAGTTCCGTTTGAAATTTTAGTATTTTCATCCTACTTATATTGTTGTAAACCATTCAGGTGGTTTTTGAAAATTTTGATTTCTAATATGAACATATGTTACATGGATTCTCAGCTTGGGTTATATATATATTGGTTGTTGATTATTTAACTTCACATTACAAATTTTGTTTAAATAGGTAAGTGATTCCTTATCATGGGTGTGACTCAAATGTGGTTGCGTGGTCTAGATGAACTAGGTGCTCTAGTGGATGGAAACTTGGAATATATTTTTCCTTTTCTTTTTTATCGTATGTTTTGTTAGATTGGTTCTTTCTTGTCATTTATATTTCCTTTTAAATTTTGTGTATCTATTATTTGCTTAGTTTTTGTTCTCTTTTCAGGGTATGGAATTATGAGGAGCCTTCCATACTGAACAGTTTTGACAATCATGATTATCCTGACAAAGGAATTTCAAAGCTCTGCCTTGTGAATGAACTTGATGATAGCTTGCTTCTTGTCGCTTCAAGTAAATTTCTGTACTGCGTTGTTCGTTTCGTTGCGAATTGGTTATGGGGATCCTTTGTTAAAATTCTGACTTTAAGTTCAATCTAACTGGTGTAATGCTATTCTATGTAGGTGATGGAAATATCCGAATTTGGAAAGATTACTCCATAAAGGGTAAACAGAAACTTGTAACTGCTTTCTCTTCAATCCAAGGTCATAGACCTGGTGTGCGAAGTGTGAATGCTGTTGTGGATTGGCAGCAGCAGTCTGGATATCTGGTATATGCTTTAGGATATGAATCTCGATTCCTAGCTTAAATTTTTTATATAGGTTGTTTTGATATATTTCTGTAATGCTGCTACACCCAGTATGCTTCTGGTGAAATATCTTCCATTATGGCTTGGGATTTGGATAAAGAGCAGCTTGTGCATTCTATTCAGTCAACACCAGATTGCAGCATCTCAGCATTGGTTGGTTTTGCCTCATCATCCTACTCAGTTTTAAAATCTATATGATGTTACTGTATTACCATATTTGGCAAGATTTTATTTTTTCTTCTTGAAATTGTTTTTGACTAGGTTTTTATGTCTTTTTCTTTTTGACAGATCTCATTTGTACATAATGTATAGTCTGTGTAAAGTAAATATAAATTTGTTTTACCCTGGTAAACGAAAATGTATCAAAAGCTAGTTTCTTAGTATTTATTGCTTATTAGTTTAAGTTGATTGATTCTGCTTGTCACTCCATGTCTATTATTCTTTGTTTGGTTTGAGCAGCCATAATTATCCAGGGGTGGGGGCTTTGAGCCCACCCCAAATTTATTATTATTATTTTTTTTGCTATACCCAATTTTAGCCCAGCCAAAAAAAAAAAAAAAATATTACTAGTATTAGCCCACCCAAAGAAATATTAGCCCACCCCATTGACAATTTCTGGATCCGCCCTTGCTGACAATGCACTATCCTAAATGTATATTATCCTTGGGACTTCTAGGATCAGCCACATTTGGTTTAATATAACAACTATCTTAAATATCTGGAGTGTTGACGGTTTATTGTGTTTCAGACTGTATGCGGTCTTCTTCTTTTTGCTTTTTTGTCTTTTTTCATGTTCATTTGGTAGGTATTGCTTATGTTATGTGCAGGCAGTGTGTCATATAATCATATTGTTTTCTGGCATGCATTTTGGACAGAAATTGAATATACATCGGATACCGTTGTCTTTTAAGGGTATTATGCTGTTGTCATGATAGATTATTAATAATGCGATATATATATTTGTCTGTGTGTACATTCGTATTTCTCGTTGTTAGTGACACTACATTAATTGTTCATTTGTTTCTGTGATTCTTGTTTAGTTGCATCTGTTGTAGATGGCAAGTTTGTACTAAAATAGTGGGTATTATTCATGCCTTGTGTAGTCTGCTTCTCAAGTTCATGGGGGTCAATTTGCTGCTGGTTTTGTGGATGGTTCCGTCAGACTATTCGACATTCGAACACCTGAAATGTAAGAACCTATAAAGGTCCTCTTATGATAGTATTTCCTTCATCAGTAATGTTTTCCAATCTTTAGATAATACAGTGCTTTCTACTGATTATGTGAGATAGGGTGTTTTGCCTGGGGAATTTTCTTATATCTAGTGACATCATCTCATCTCACTGTTGCTATTACATAAAGCTTTCTTTAAAACCCACAGCCAAATTTTCTCTTCCATTACTTCTCTTTCTCCTGGGCGTGCCCATCTCTCCGACCAATTGTATGTATTAATAATGTATTGATCTTTGTTTTTAATAACCTTCGTAATGTAGGCTTGTTTGTGCAACACGGCCGCACACCCAAAGAATAGAAAGAGTTGTGGGGATTGGCTTTCAACCCGGACTTGATCGTGCAAAGGTAAACAGAGCACCTTATTATTACTTCCCATTTAGGAAAGTAGTTGGATGCTTAATTATCTATCTGTTCTTTCAAATGCTGTTGTATTAGGTTATCCTTTCTCCTCTTGAAAATCATTATAAAACTAAGGCCATACAAGAACCACTCTTTCTTGTTTGATTCATCTTTTTCACTTGTTTCTTTTCAGTTTGTCAGTGCATCTCAGGCTGGTGACATTCAGTTCCTTGACATCAGACAGGTAAAGGATACATACCTCACAATTGAGGCTCACAGAGGCTCGCTTACAGCTTTAGCTGTTCATCGGCATGCGCCCATTATTGCCAGTGGCTCAGCCAAACAGCTCATCAAAGTCTTCAATTTGGAGGGTGAACAGTTGGGCTCGATCCGATACTACCCTACCTTCATGGCCCAGAAGATAGGACCTGTAAGCTGCCTCACCTTCCATCCATATCAAGTACTGCTTGCTGCTGGTGCTGAAGATGCTTGCGTCTCTATTTATGCTGATGAAATCTCTCCAGCAAGATGAATACAGATCATTCATACCTCCTTCCTCAGAAGGCCATCTTATTGGGAGGTAGCACAGGTGCTTTTATCAATGCCATCAATGTGGCATTGTGGGTGCTAATGGATCATCGGGTTTTAATCATTCTGCTGCCCGCGTTCGTCCTTGCAGTTGATGTTTCTGGAGATATAGGTTGGGCCACTGTTGAAATTGTATGCTATCTAATTCATTAGCCTCCAGCATAGAAAGTCGCTCAGGTTGGGAAAACCAGCAAATTCCTTGGGAGGCTTCGGCAAATAATCTTGTGGTGTATAGGTGAATATGGTGTAAATAGTCTGCTTTTTTCTGCCCTCTTGGTTTTGGCGTGTTCTTTTCCCCTTTTTTTTTCTTTTCTTTTCTCTTTTTTTCTTTGCTTCTTTCTTTCCCACCCCCTCCAATTTGTAAAAGCATCAAATCTATTATTATTATAATAAGTATTGCTGACAGGCAGTGTTGTGATTCATCCCCAGAAATTAAATTAGGACTCTAGGTTCCTGAACTCATTGTAATTAATTAATTCCTGCATCTGTAAAACCAATTGGAACTTGTGACAAGACATCATAGATAAGTTTGCTTCTCGTTGTGTTCATCCAACCCCATTGGATCATGGTTACAATCTTCAAATGGGATGACAAGAACCGACTCATTTCACACAACAGTCATTCTCCTATATTCAAGTTGATTATGCTACCATCATTATTGTAGTACAATAAATCCATCGTTGAACTAGGCTTTACCTTGATAAATAGAAGAGAGCCTCTAGCTAGTTCTATAAAAGCCATGTGATCTGCCATTACAAATAGACCGTTGTATTGCATTTATTTGACGAGCTTTTTGTTTTTGGCCCGAGGTGTCTGGCCGTGCCTGTGAAATTTTGGGGTTTTATCATAGAAAATCAACATAGAATGAGAGGAGAGGCAAACTGATGGTGAAGGAAGAAACGAATAAGGATTTGGATCCCACCCGTATAAAGGGGTCAATCATGGTTGCTCTGCTATGGTACTTATGTGACGTTCAAATGAAGTGATGAGACAGAAAGGTTCGTACTTGCACAAGAGTAGGTAATAAGCGGCGCATTAACTAACAATTAATCATGGTTTGCATGCCTCTGAGGAGATTAATCACTCTCTTGGATCAAGAACAAGCAACAAAAAAGTTCCCTAAAATCAGTGGATTTCAATCCAAGATTAAATAATAATGCTTGCAAGATTAATGGGATCTTCTCCTCAAAAGAAACCTATCGTGAGAAGTTGAAGGCCAACATGTGCAGTAGAAAAAGAAGAGATACTTTATGTAAGATAAGAGTCGCTTGCCATTTGTTGAGATATAAATTATAATTAAACAAACAGAATCATAAAGCAAACAAAATTGATTTCCAGAATGTGGTTGAGTTGCAGCGGCACATATCATCATCAATTAGAAGACCAGATATATTCATAGTGCAAGCGCTGATACACACTGCAGAGAGTGGTGCTGTGAAGCAAGGCTACCACTATAACAATCTAAAAGACTAAATATGTAGAGAGATGGGAAGACACTCATATACATCATATTGACATGTATCATCAATCCTGTCGGAATTCAATTTATGAGAGTATCATACACGTGAAGGATCTTACTTCCCTCCACCGACCATACTCTGGCTGGATGTTCCTGATATGGGTGGAGACGCTTTGCTCGTCATCTTAAATCTTCCATCAGAATTGCCAAGAACATTAAGATCTTCAAATAATCTGTATGAAGGAATAAAGGGCTTCTGTCCTGCTGTAGGAGCAGTGGTCCTAGGGCTGGAGCTCACCTGTACCTCTCCATTCATAGCTGACATATTGCCGCTGCCTCTTGCAGGGAATGAGTTCAAGTGCTGCAAGGGTCTGCCCCCTTGCATGGGTGTATAAGATGTAGTGTTGGCTTGTGGAGTCAAGAATGCGTGAGAATTCGAAGACAAATGATTTTGGCTGTTGAAATAACCTGGTGTTGGTGCCCACGGTGGAGGAGGGTAAGCAGATGAGTACTGGGGATATTGAGGTTGATGTTGGAGCTGTTGTTGCTGCTGGGGAAATTGAGGTTGATGTTGGAGCTGTTGTTGCTGCTGGGGATATTGAGGTTGATGTTGGAGCTGTGGTTGGCGCTGGTGCTGGGGCTGTAGTTGGGGCTGAGTCTGGGGCTGAGCCTGGGGCTGAGCCTGAGCCCATGGAACAACATAACTATTAAGGGGTATCTGCCCCTGGCTTCCACGATAAGTTGGGGGTTGGAGTTGTGGTTGTGGTTGGGGTATCTGCCCCTGGCTTCCATGGTAAGTAGGAGAGGCATAGGGATAACCTGGTGCGGTTGGGGATGCCTGGTGAACGTTCTGTGTGGATCCTGCAGGAGTGTGAGGGGTGTTAGGAGAGGTGGTGGTTGTTGACAAGGTGATGCTCAAAAGGTCTATCATATCTTGCTCTTTAGTGGTCCTAACTGGTGCAGGTGGATCAGGCAAAGCTAATGCATTGCTCGGAATGGGGACTGATGCTGCTGGAGTGGATGAAGTTGTACTGAAGCTAGTGTTCACTGAGGTACCTTCACTGGTTCCGGTAGATGAGCTTTGCGAGGTAATGGACTGAGTTTTGGAATGCCTGCACACATAGAACATGAATTACACCAAGTTATAAACCAGGGTTCACTAAAATACAATATTGATTACAGTACATCAACTCTAGATAAAAGGTCTTTAAGTTCTTAATGCCTCCATGGATAAAAATGGTGGATCTTTATATAACATGATGCTACAGGTTTATATATAACAAATGACTGTCAGTTGAAAGCAACCTTCGTGCTAGCTGTGCGAAGTCATCTTCCTCTTCTTCTTCTTCTTCTTCAAGCATACCCCTTGTCAAAGCAACAACTGGTGCAGAGGGGTTAGAGTTTATTGGGCTGGATTCTCTACCTTCTGTTGCTTTGAGGCTGGAGTCTCGCACTTGAGTCAATTGGGGGTTGATATTTGTCCCTTGAGTTGGCATGGGGGAACCAGAAGCTATAGCATCATGTTTCGCCAGCACACTTTGCAGGCTATCATTTAACTCAAGACCCTGAGCTAGAAGTTCTTCATCCCTGCCACAACCACAGACATTTTTGAGAAATCCATGGGACAAGCATTGGCTTGACAAACACATCCAAAATAAAATATAGTGTAGCACTTAATGCCCACAAATATCACAAAATATTATCAAGCATACATTGTTAAAGATATCCAAATTAGACAAAAAGTAATTGAGATGAAAGAGAACTTACCTAGTTAGAGTCAACATCTGCATCAGCTTCTTTTGGTTGGCACGACACCGTTCAACAAGATCAACTATTACTTCATCTTTAACAGCCTGCAGACACAAAAAAGCATTAAGTTTTCTCTCCCCTAAGCAAAAGAAAATGTGAGAACCTCATTGGTAACTTGGTGTTAGGGCAAAGTAGAAACCACATCTGCACATACCTCACGGTCACTTGGATTCACAGCTTGCAGCATGTCGATTAAGAGATCCAGAACATTCCTCATAGAATCTATGCTTGATAAACTAAAGGGTGATATAAAAGAAAATGAATCACAAGATAAAGTGGAATATAGCATACAGTAAGATGAGACCACAAGAGTGTGCAACAAAAGTAGACTCTTTACCTTAAATTTTCCATATCAGCTGCCATGGCTTCATCAAGCCTTGTTGAAGAATTGCTAGGCATTCCATAACCTGCTTGAGCAGCTCCTAGAGTTGGATGGGTAACAGGTGGTGTAAATATTGGAGGTGTATCTGATGAACGCTGGGGAAATACTTCTCCAGATCGCTGCAAAACAATATTGTATCTGTCAATTATTATACATTTTATGCCTTGTTAACCATCAATAAATTTTGCACACAATTTTTAACTTGATAGTAAAACATGAACAGCTTTACCATGTGGGAGAGTCAGCATGCATTAGCAAAACCCACTCCCAAAAGAAAAAAACTAGGTCTGTAACATAACAGAGTAATAAAAGGTTGATTTTGTTCATAGGATCTATTAAACATAGAATGAATTGCAGCCAACTGCGACATTATAAATTAGGCAACAACATGGACACTATATGATGTTTATATCTAGGGCCTTGAGAAGCCTTGTTATATCATGTCATAATACCATGGAAAGTAGTCGAAGTACATCAAAACAAATCATGATGACATTGTCAATTGTTACCATAAAACCAAGCAACAAAAAAACAGATAGCAAAATAATTGAACCACATCAAATCTATGCTTACCCTCAGTTCCTCATATGCCCAGTAATACTGAGGATATTTTCCTCCTGGCCCACCAAATGCTTCTTGCCAAGAGTCTAGCAGTACCAAGATTTTATCCCTTACATGCATATCGGCCTGCAAAAGCCATCCAAACATTTTTAAAATTCAAGGAGGTAAGGAAAAGTATAATAAGAACTACTTGCGTGAAATTCAAAAAAGTCTACTAGTGAAACAAAATAACATTGAAGTCTTTTGAACTATAAAGTAGAGCAAGCTTTGTTATGTCTACCAATGACCATAACAACTAGTTAAGAACTAAGACAGCACCCTATAACATAACAAACTTAGAAAGAAGATGGTTGATTACATAAGAAAAGTTAAGACAACAAAAAATGTTAAAAGGAAGACAAATGAGAAAGGACCTGAAAATAATTTACAGACAAATAATAATCAAAATGAGGAAAAACTCAAAATCCATGCATCAGACAAAATAACCTTATGGCCCACAAGTTAATGGAGCCACTATAAAAAGAACAAACAGAACAGCATAAGTACCGCATCCTGCAGATGTATCTTTGAAACATAAACATTCCACTTAATCCATAACAATTACATTCATAACTTACCACCTCTCTATTAAAATGTTAATATATCATTACATGTGGAAAGATAAGACACAAATTAAGAAGGGTTCAAGCTTTTCATGCTGGCATTTCATGTAGTTGTTTGATTCATGTAAGGTGCAAGAACTCTTGTATTCAATTCTAGGAATGCCCCTCCATTCACCTTACTTTTTACTCACCAACGAGGACGCTAAAAAGAAAGAACGAAAGAAACATGACACAAATACAAAAATCAATAAGAGACACTCAGAAGTTCAAACCACACGTTTCTCATTTATGTGGTTCGAAAAGAAAACTATAGATTGGTAATAATATTTAGGGTTAATTACAATGACACCCTCTGAGAGAAATTTTGATTTTAATTTTCACTCACACTTCAAGCGTTTGGTCCGTCTTTCATTCACATCCCAACCGTCACCTGCACATCGAAACTCTGTTGGTGTTGTCCTGTTTGAGCTCAAGGCAAAGCACATTGAAGTCACGATTGACATCGCCGGCTCCTCATCTTAGGTTCACAACAGGCCGTCGTAGGTGAGACCCTTTTCTCCATGGATGAATTCACTAGGTTCGGAATACTTTGTCAAGAATTGTGTTGATATGTTCGTCTGAACTTGACCCTAGGGTTTACGGAGACGACGAGGACAACCACGTCTCCATTGAAGCCATCGTCTCCGTTGGCGTCAAATTGTTGAAAGATTCTCTTCACCTTCTCTGATCTGCTGCCTCTGGTTGGCATTTTTGGATTTTAGGGCTTTCAATTTTAGGGTTTGGGTTTTTTCAAAAGAGCAGTAGATGAGAGATGATGATGATGTGAGTGTACAGTTGGAGCAAAAGGGTGGTTTGAATGGATATTAGGTGATTAGGGTTTGCACTGATCAATGTTAGAGGTGTGTTAGGGTTCCATGGTTGCATCCCAACTGAGAAGAGGGTGAGACAGGGAGAGCGTGTGTGATGGAGAGAGAACGTCATTCTTGGAGATTCATTAATAGGGTTAAATTTGTCTTTTGCAATCTCTGATATTTTTTATTAAATTGCATTTAAAAGATGAGAGTATATATGACATTTCACACGATTTTGACGCTGTTAGTGACAGATAACTGACATGGGGTCTGAAAGTTAAAATCAAAATTTGTGTGTGTGAGCAGGGGGTGTCATTGTAATTGACCCTAATATTTATGCTACTTCACACAGAATTACATCTTTAAACCAAGCAAATACAATTCACTACTTGCATGGACACTAGGAGCCACCTGCTGTGCTGAGTGCTAACATGTACTTATTCACCAAACTATTTTGGTGTAGAATACTTAATCAGTTACAAATATTTTGGTGTAGAATACTATCCCGTTACCCACATCAAAACTTACAAGCCCAATAAAAGAATATAGTAGAAATGAAAATAAGATTGCAACAGATGATATTTAAATAGAAAATCAAATGGAGTCATGAACTAAACCTCAAAACAAGTGAAGAAAAACCACCAGGCACCTCATGATGATCTAAAATCCCAAACAGATACAAAAGCAGAACTTACCCTTTTCTTTACAATTTTGATCATCTCCTGTAGTATATTCCTCTCAGCAATTTGTAAATGCACAGAATCACCACAGTTCTTCACCATTGTCTCCAGAAGCTGCAAAGTAGATATGCCACGTAACTAGTGGATTAGAAAGACACGTTCTTGAGCAATAGTTTCCTAAATGATAAATTCGAATTATCAAGTTATGTTGCAAGGCAAGTGGCAGCAGACGAACAATTTTGCCCTGCCTTTTGCAGAATTCCTATAATTAAACTAAATGAATGTAAGGTAAATCGTGTATGTTATAGGTTTCTATTAGAATACCGTCAAGGCAAGTAATTGAACTCTAGGATTCTTATGCTGCAACCTTTTCTTCACAGCTTTAATAACATCTTTTGCAGTCCTGCACCGTTTAACAAATAACCATCAGTAAATTATCAATATTCTATTTTAAACGATAATTTGTTTTTACAAATTTAGCATAAGATATAAAAATGAATGAAAATAGATCAAATTCCATCATTAAAAACACACTAAAAGTATAAATTTCAGTAGTATAAGATCAGAATCATAGGACATATTATACCCAGGCCTCCTTATCTCTGAACACGATAATAAAGCACAAAGACGAGATATTTCCAATTTCTAGCCAACAACAGTTTGGGTTCAGAGAAAATATATGACAGGAAAGAAAAATAAAATATAAAATCAAGATTCGAGTTCCGAACTTTTATTATCAAGGACCAAAAATATGCCCAGAAAACGAGTATATCGCTCTGTGAAAACGTGAGATTACATGTTATAGTATTGAATTTTAAAATAAATTTATTTTACTCGATTTCTCAGTAACCAAACAGAAGAAAGTAAAAGAAAACAATCATAACCCTTTTGCTTCATTAGCCCCAGATAAACTTTAAATTAAGAAATTAAAGACATTTCGTTATTCAGCTATACAAAACCAAACACCCATTATCCAAATACAACCAACATATGTATCTACATATATATATATATATATATATATATATACGTATATCTGTATAATCAAATACCGAAATATGTAAAACAGAAACCCTAAAAAAGCCAAAAAAAGTCAACTCTACGAACACGAAAGGCTATAGTTTCTAAACCCGTACCAATGATTGGAATTGATGGAATCACAAATATCGATGTTCATAGTCCAATCAGGTCCATTTAGAAGATCGCTCGTCGCCTTCAGGACTCGAACATTAGCTGAAGAAGAAGAGGAAGACGATAGCATCATTTTTTCTCTCTCTTTCTCTCTACCTAAATTCCTCGCAATCAATTGCCCTTATTAGGAACAGAAAAGTAACAGAGACCTTGCTTGTATAGAGGATAGGTAAGAATTAATAGAAGGAAACAACAAGAGAGGCGTATAAAACTTGTTAGTTTTCCGAGAAAAATAGTCGGAGATATATATTTTCCGAGAAAACCCAAGACTCAGAGAAAGTGCGACTTCTTGTTCTTTGTTCTTCAATTTTGTGTTTTTTAACTTTCTCGGCACTTTCCTTTCCGGAAATTTCGTTTTCTTTTTCTCTTTCTCTTTCTTGTTCTGAATTATCAACTTCCAAGTTTGGAATGCTTTTCAGCCGTTTGCTCACGCGCTCAAACAATCTGGAAGCTACGCGTTTCTAATATGGGGGCTGTTTGGTTGGAAGAAGGATTGCAAATGAACCAACCAACCTACTCAATTATTTAGTTTATCCGATTCTGTTTGGACCAATGATAGAGTTTTAGTTCATTTTAGACTTTTTGTTCACTCATTCGTGATATAGTCAAAGTCTGTTTTAATTCACTCAGATGCATTCAATTTAGTTCATTTTTATGTTTCATCTTCTAATTGAATAAGTTGCTACATTTTTTAATTGTGTAGATTCGTTTAAAAAATATATATATATGTCATTAGTCAAGTGAACACAAAATCTTGAAGTTTGTATTTTGAGAAAAATCGTCAATAATAATGCAGGATGCTAAACCTTAAGGAGGAGGAATTATGACGTCCCACGTTATTCGCTGCACTATCAAATTTACAAAAAAGTGAACTTATATAATTGAAAAATATTGATGAAGAAGAAGAAGAAGAAGAAGAAGAAATTGAAGTTGAAATTCAGACTAATTATATTCTTTATTCATGAATTTAAACTGTCATTATCAAATCATTGTCTAACTTACTTATTCTAAAAATTTACTAATGCATATGCTTCACTTGTGATCTAAACATATCTATTGTTTGAAAAAGTAAAATAATTTAAAGTGATTTCATATATTTGTTATATATATCATCACTTCTGACGTTAACAAATTAGTATGAAATCTTTTAAAATTGTAAAAGAATTTTAAAAGGTAACAATCCTATCTGAGGATAGAGATATACAAATATATATATATATGACGATGACAACCTATTTAAATGAATATGATGGGTTGAATTTGAGCAATGCACAAACTAGTCCATTCATACGAAGCTCTATTTACAAGGGAGATTTTAGTAAATTTAGGAAGATTGTGTTGTCCAAAAAGCGAGTGTGAAGGTGTAAACACGCTCTCGAGAGTGAGGATGAGTTGATGATAATCTTTTGCTTTAATTCTTGCAACTTTTGCTAGTTTTTAGAACAGTGTTTAGCTAAAATTAGCAGAGCAGAAGAGTAATAAAAAGTCTTTTACCTAAAAAAAAAAAAAAAGAGTAATAAAAAGTCAGAGAGAGAAAGGGATTGGATTGGTTGGGGTTGCGAGCTGGCTAAAGAGACCCATATTCTGTCTCTATCGGGCCGGCTCTCTATATACCTATATGGGCTGGTCTATTCAGATTTTAGCCCAAGTTTTGCATGAAATTACCAATATCACTTATTCTCTCATTAATGATAAGGTGTGGAGACAGATGATCAACGATGATGGAGGTTTTAGAATAATCAATGTCCACCATCATTCAATTTTCTTTGACTTTTTATCGTTCATCCAAAATTGACTTGGAACTTTCTTTTGGGTCTCAATGGGCTGTTTATAGGAAAGAGGGGAAGATCATTAGGTTGTGGTTTCTGGAGCCTGACCAATGGATGTGTTACTCGTGATATATCTAAACCTGGGTCTATATATATAATATGTGTATAGATTATACCTATATCTATATATATTTAATTTCAACTGGTCAAGCTGTACCAAATATATCATTTCTCGTAGTCCGCCATGATTTTTTAATACTGCAAGAAAACAAAAGCGGGGGATAAATGCCAATGACATGGGTCACGCGCAGGTTTAAGTGATTATTATCCTTTACAAAAAGGAGTCAAAACCAGCTTGTCTTACGTCAACTTTTTTTATGTGACAACAGAGTTAAAATATGGATAAAAATAGCAATAGCTTCTATTAACAATGATAATGATTAATATGTAATTATAACAAAATATTGGTCGGAAATATCAATGTGTTATATATATATATATATGGAACCTGAATTGGTGGTTGGAAATGTAGACCTTTGACTAAACCACACCATCATGATAACTAAGCCTCTGAAGCATCTTTGATCATGATTTTTTTAACAATGATAATGATTAATATGTATGGATTGGCAATAGACGCTTCAATGTGAGCCTTAACCGGCCATGGAGTAGAAACTGTTGCTATTGTATGTAATATTGGTATGGATTAATTGGAATATGAATTTATATGTACATTTAAGTGTAAAATAGATGCATATATAGTATGTGCATATATATATATATATATATTACATACAATAGCAACAGTTTCTACTCCATGGTACTCCATGGCCGGTTATATATATATATATATGCACATACTATATATGCATCTATTTTACACTTAAATGTACATATAAATTCATATTCCAATTAATCCATATATATATATATATATATCTTTACCCTGTAGTATATGTTGCAATTTATATTCCAACAAATTTAAATTCATAAATGAAATATGTATCCAAGTGCGGTGATAAGTATCAATTAAGTCCCTTAAGCTGAACTTTTCCTTCTTCAAACTAGATCTGAGTTCAAACTCGAGTTTGAGCTCAACTTGAGATTTCGTATAAAAGTGGCTGAGCTTGACTCGAAAATTACTTGTTTAATATTCAATCTCAAACTCAAATCATAACTTGAGAACATAATTATTTGATGGATAAAGTAAAGCCTGATAGATATTCTACACCAAGCCCCAACTATGTAGATCTAACTGTTAGGAAACGTGCTAGTTTTAAAAACTTTTCGAGGGATTTAAATTCATAGATCTTGATTCATCACATAGAGACAAGTTTTATGCAAAAAATAAAATAAAATATGATGTATTATTCAACTAAAAGATTGAATACTTACATCAAGGTTTGAGTAAACCTCAGATCTCTCCTCTAAAGTGAATGTTCTCACTTATTGTAGATCCCTTTTGCTAGACATCTTTTCCATGGATCTCCATCTTCTTGGTAATGGTCTTGCCTTTAGGAATCACTCATAAGCCTCCTTGAATGACCTTGGAAAACTAGGCTTGTGGGAGCCTCCATTAGATGAGAACATAAACCCTAATTTTCTAGAGAGAGAAAATTTATTCCTTTTCCTTCTCATAAAAATCACCCCCTAAAATATACATAGACCATGTATATTTATAGGCAACATAAAAATAAAGAAAAGGAAACAACAAATCCTTCTCCATCTCTAATTCATATGTCTCAAATCTAATATGATTCCAATATCAAGTTGGGCTATGAGTGAGAATCCATTGGGCCTATTATTTTATTGGCTACAATGAATTAATAATTGGCCCGGTCCATGGACCCAATTCAATTAATTCATAAATTAATTTCTACTCCACTAAAAGAAATTAATTGAACTCCAATTAAATAATAAATAACCTCTAAGTCAATATTGCACTTTGACCCCTCTATGCATAATTAGTTATCGGATAAATATAGCCATCAATCCGACTACTTAATTAATATATTTATTTTGGTACCTTTGATTATTTCTGGCTCGATCACAATAAAACATTTGTTTGACAAAAATAATAATTTAAATAAATAAATATATAATAAATCATTTTGTCTAAAAACACACGAAGGCCTTCGAATTTACTTTGTGATCAACCATAATCAATACAAAATAAATACAAGTAGCAATGATGCAAATATTGAAAATATAACCCTCTAACTATTAATTACATAACTACCCAAAGTGTCGGTCTAAGGATCCCGAAGAATCCGCCGAACAAATCAAAGTAATTATTAATTAATAAAAGAGTCTATACTTTTCTCATGCTTAAGAGTCAAATGCCATGACGGTAATAGGGAGTAATTGCATACGACGGCTCTCGCAATATATCTCAACCTAACGCGGATCCAGTTCAAGTCTTAATTAATTATGAGTCCATCCATAATTACCGACTATGAACAATTTATAATTACTATTTATATATCATGCATTGATTGTCATCACATACATATATATAAATATTTCTTGTAATTAACTGGACACTATCAATTTCATAGTGAATCGAAACATAATACATTGAATTCACCAATTATATAAATCATAAATATTTCAGATATGTCAGGAACATATGTCAATACAATCTAGATAGGAATTTGCTATGCCAGGGCATATAAATCCCAACAGTTCCCACTTGCCCTCATAGCCAATTCAAATTGCACCTAACTCCAATGTTATCCAGATGATGATCAAAATTATTGATCAATGACACCTTTGATAATGGATCAACAAAGTTGTGTTCCAATGCAATGTTCTAGCTATAAGTACATTTTCTTGCCGGACAATATCATGTAGAACATGATACTTCCTATCAGTGTAATTTTGTTCATCTATGGAACCTTGGGTAATTGGTTTGGACTACTTCTGCACTATTGTCTCAATATAGCTCGATAGGCAAGCTAGTATGCTCCACAACCTCTAAATCAGTGAGATCAAACCAATAGGCTTATATTGCCACTTTTAAGGCTGCAATATACACCACCTGTAGGTTTGAGTCAACAGTTGAAATCTGCTTGATAATCTACCAACTGATTTCCCTTCCATTAAGTGAACATACACTAAGTTATGAACCTCATAGTATCTACTTCTGATTGAAAATCAGAACTAGCATACCTGACTAGGACCATATCATCACATCCATAAATGAATATGATATCATTGGTTCTCCTTAGGTACTTAATGATATTTTTCACAATAGACCAGTTGTCAAGGCCAGTATTGGACTGATCTCTACTGACTATCCCTACTATGTAGCGGATGTCCTGTTTGGTATAGACCATGGCATATATGAGACTCTCATATGCCGAAACATATTGTTCCAGTCTCATTTGCTCAATCTCCTCTGCTAGTCTTGAAAAACTAGTTACTAGAGAGAGCGATCCATATCAATAAAGCAAGAACTCATTCTTTGAGTTATGCATACCAAACCTGGTCAAAACTTTATCAATGTAGGATTATTAAGATAAGCCTATTTTCCTTTTAACCTGATCTTGCAAAAGCTTGATCCTAGGAATATAGCTTACATCTTGAAATTCCTTCATTTAA